CGGGGTTGAGGCGTCCTCTCTGGAGAGACTCGCCTCGGCGACATAAAGTGGAATTTGTTCATATACATATAAAAAGAAGTATTCAGTTATAGATACCCAAATATAAAGTTTGTTCAACTAGTAAAAGACTTTTAAGAGCACCTAACTGTTGTACAGTTCTTGTGTTTTCTCCTTCAAGAGTGAATTTTCACATAAATTACTGAAAAAAATAAACACATTTTCAGTAAATGGTGTCACTTTTTGAACAGAAAGCCACTGAAAAAATCTGTGTTTATAAATGAATACTCTATGCAGATGAGTACATGTGACTGGGATCAGGAATTTGATGTTTATCCTGCTGACATAGCTCTGCTCAGGGTTCTTCATCACACATAGAGCTATTCTCCAGCCTGTAGACAGCCCTAAGGAAAGATAGAGTAGACAGTTCCTAAGTAGACAGAAGCAGCGTAAACATTAAATAAGGCACAATGAATTCCATTCTTTGGTACTTAAATACATCTTTCTTGTTAAAAATATATGTACTTTTGCTGAAACCTCAAAAGTAAAGAAATTATTGGATTCACCCAGTATGTAACTCAGAAGAATTTAATAAGTTAATTCAGTAACTTGTTAGCTGCATACTGTTTTGCTCTTTCTTCTTCTGTTTTCAGCTGCAGCACCTGATTTTTCCAAAAATCCTTTGAGAAAAAGGTCTGTTGCTCAAGTTGGAGGTGAAGTTACAATTGAGTGTAAACCAAGCGCTTCTCCCAGAGCACTTATTAACTGGAGAAAGGGCCCAGAGGTTCTGCGCCACAGCAAAAGGTACCATCATAAACCAGTTGTTGGATTGGTGGGAGTTCTCTTTTTTAATAATATCATTTAAATATCACTGAAACACAGTGGCTTAGTATTGTTTTTGGCAGCTCATTGATAGAAAGCTTTGATGCCAGAGGCCTCTTTCTCTTTAGCAGTGGCCGTACAGTTCTGTAGATACAAACCTGGTTGAGAACAAAGCCAAACTGAATACACAAGGGTAATTGTATGATACATATGTTTGTGTTCATCAGCAGTTAATTCACTGCAATGCTATCAAAGTTGACTGTTTACCACACACAAAGCCAGAGTGAATCAGCTTCACCTAGGAGACATCAGTGGAGGCTTCAGGGAAGCGGAATATAACCCCAGGCTATGGCATAATTGCTTCACAGCTGTACAGGTTGTATAATAAGCCATAGCTACGTCAGCCGCCATCATCTGTCTCTTCTGTTTAGGCAGGATTTAGCCACTGGACCTGCATGCTGGTATACTCCCCCAACAACTGGTATGGGGTTGCATGGTCTTTGCAGTGCTTTACTGACGTTTTGTCTGTGATGGCCAATAGCTTATTTGTGAGTTAACACAAACCATCTACATTATTACATGCTAATGTCAATTAAATGGTAAAGCATTAAAAACAAAAGTTACTTATTGATTTAAGTTGTGAATAGTATACACAATATACAACTGTGATATTTCCATATTCAAATGTAGACACAAAAATGGGCAACAGTGTCTAAGAACTGTAATTTTTCTCAGCAACCCTTTCAGTTCACAAATATTACAGCAACATTGTTTTATCATATTATCATTTTCAAAGACCAAAACAGAATCAGTAATTCAAAAAGCCCTGGAAATTGAACACCAGATTTTGTGCACAGGACCTCATGGAGGTTAGTTTATGTCACATAAGACATAATACATTAAAACAGCATTACCCAAAACTGTGACACAAAGAAATATTTCCCATGTTACACTAACGTACAATGCAGCTAAAAGTAAATCAGAGCAGTATTTGTGAAAGAAAGTACAAATCTGAGAAATATTTCACATAGGTGCTTGCAATGAAACAGCAATATTTGTGTAAACAATCTATGCCACAGGGCATAGAGAACTTCCAATTATTTCCCCCACTTTCACCAATAGCAGTTTTATTTTTATTTGCTCAGCTGATGATGAAAAATAATTTTCTATTTAGTGTTCAGTCGAATCTTTATTTGCATTTTGATTGTTCTGTCTATTCAACAAAGACCAGTTCATCCTATCAGACACAGCCTATCCCTACAGTATGTAGAAAACATGCTCAGTATACAATTTGCCACAGACAGTCTCTGAATTTTCTGACATTGAAAACAGGAGTGAGGAGAGAGCTGTTTAAAACTTAGAATATAAATAGTTGAACTAAACCTAGATCTTGAGATTCTGGTACCCTGATATCCCCCATCTGATTTGCTTGTAAAAAATATTTACATACTGCATACTGTATTTACACGTGTTTCTGTATTAATTTACTAACAATAATTATAAGCACATTGTAATTTTTGAGCATCCCAGAAGGTCTTCTGGTGTTTAGCAGGAGTAAACAAAAGGAGCAGGATTTACACTGAAGCAAAGGGAGAGATTGTTTAAACTCTGTGCAAAACACTACCAGTATGTCCACTGGTGCAGACTTTGAGATTATTAAAGTAGATTATTAAGTAGTAATTATTAAAGTAGTATATTATTAGAAGAATTTGAGACTTAATTATTAAATGACAAAATAGCACAGTTTTAAAGGAGAGAGAAATCATCTATACAGTATTTTTCCAGAGATCTTTGTGACAAAAAGCAGAAAATGAAATAAGGATTTGTGTGGCTGCAATAAAGTACACAGCTAATTAAAGTACTGAAATCACATTTATCTTTGCTCCTAACAAAGAGAAGGAACTTGCCTTTCTCTCTATATATGATTAAACCCTGATATGTCACATACATATTAACTATTTTAATGAACTTATTTCTGCTCCCTTTTTATTGCTCAACAATTATAATCTCTATGGACTCCTTTACTAGCTTAAAAAAAAATAAATAAGAAATTGGTGCAGTTATAAGTGCTGAAAAAAAGGTAATACAAATCCCTTACCGTACAAAACTGTAATGGACACATTGCTAAATAAATCAAATCACATAATTTCTTCACAATAATTTAGACAAATTTAATCGTTTGTTACAGAAATAGTGCAACTGGACCTGTTCTACCCTGAGGGATAAGAATATTCTTTCTTTTTCACCTTCTTCATTTCACTCATGGTAATAATTTATTTGTGATAGTCATGCGTACGCAGTCACTGCTGTCCCTGATCATCTGAGCTCACAATATGACAAGATAACACTGCTTCATAGTAATGTTAGTTTGTAAGTATGTATAAAGAAGTGTGTTAACTAGGAAGAGCTAATTAATAGACTATATTAATGAAAACACCACAAAATAATTTTAATTTCCTCTGAGGAATTTTTTTAACAAGTATTTTTAGGTTTATGAAGCTGCAGTATTTGGGCCCCTGCTATTTGAAAAATATCTTAACATTTCCTGAATCTGAAGTATAATCTTAATCTCTTGCCATGGTCCAGCACTGAAGGTCCTTAGTCCTTGATCCCCTTTTCAGGCCACAGACAGTTTCCTTCGGTCCTGTTTGTCTCTCTCATTTTCTCTGTAGCTTGAATACGTCACTGCCCAGATCGTCAACAGATTGTATGCTCTGATTTATGTATTTTATTGCAATTGATGAGTACATGTAGGTCCTTAAAAATCCCAGATAAGACAGTTTTTATATTAGATGGCAAAATGAAGCCTAAACATACCTGTACCAGGTCTGCTTACTGATCCCAGTCTTCACGTCCCCTCTCCTTTGAGTATTCTTCTTCAAAATTTTCAGAAATACCTAAATTCCACCCTCATTCCTATGGGTCATTCCCCTAGTTGCGGGATTTATCTTTGGTTCCTGGTACTTGCTGTCTTAGAGAGGGAATTCAAGGTTATCAGCTGCAGGAATCAAAAAGAAATTCCACAGTTGGCTAATCCTAGCTACTTTTACCTGCTCTCTCTTCCTGTGATCCCCTGGTCAGCTTCTGTGGATCATGTAGCAGTACAGCTGCAGGTTTTCTTTTGGGCAATTAACCCCCTTCTTTGGATCAAAGTCTTGAGAAATGGGCTTTCGGGAGCAGCGGCGCTTGTCTGGTGGGCAACTGTTTGAAAAGATTGTTTGCCCTTTGCCAAAAGTGTGACTTCTTTCTGGCATGTGATGAGGATTTTAGCTCAATGTAGAAATGAAATGTGACAAAGAAGAACAAGCTTAATGTTCTGAACTCCAACCCTGTAGATTTTGTCATAGATAAGAGCTATTTTCATGTATGTCATATATTCTCAGGAAGTGCAACAGAGTTTTTCTTCATTTCACTTCTCTCTTCTATCATCCCATGTGTCCACTGAGGAAAAGGAAGAGTCGAAGGCAACAGTTCATATATTAAATAAAACAAATTTGCAAGTCTAGACACTGATCTCATCGTAAAAATATGTCTTGTTAGTGCCTTCAGTGGATTCAGGATCAGATCTCTCAGGGGAAATTTATTTTATAATTTTTTTTTTTTTATTTAAGCATTTAATAAATGGGAATTACAGCCCATTTTGCTTTACCAGAGAGAGGTGCTATTCCCTCACCATGAGTTGAGGATTGCCAAACACGGTAGTGAATGCATACAAACATATGTGATTCACTCCACTCAGAATTTAAATGAGGATAGCTGAGGGAAAACAGAGAAATGAGGTAGGCTGAAAGAATGCATTACTCATAAGCAGCACTTTCCATGCATTAATAATCAGTAATAAGCAAATATTCATAATTTAAATTGTTTTCTGGAACTGGACAAGAAGTATGTTTAGGGGTCAATAACATATGCTCAATACTTGTTGGCTCCTAGGCTTTCTTTCAGGATTCAGTTCAGTCCCATCTCTGTGAAGGATGATAATTGATTCTCTGCCGTAAATAAAGCTGCTCTATGTGGTAAAATCCCTCCCGTGCTACACTTGGTTTTGGTGTTTTGCACTCAGTTTCTTGCCATTATTCAAAGGAAACATGAGAAAGAATGAAAAGAAAACTGAGCAGGTGTTGGGTCTGGAGACTTCTAACTCTATGGGTGGGGGCAATTATACAGTAATTGCTGAAGTCTTACAGCTACCCCTTGGAACCTCAAATTCAAGGGGATTTCCTGCTCCCATGTGAAATGTAAGGACCCAACAGTTTTCATTACCTGCATAGTGAGGTCTGCCCACAGCTGTGTGCTGAATCTGAATTGCTCCATCAGTCTCCTGGGCAAGGCCATTCTCCTACAGCCTTCAGAGCACGCGTGGCCACCATCTGTTTCTGCTTATCTTCTGCTGCTCCACTGCTTCCAAAACCATGAACATTTTAAACTTTTTTGTTATTTGAGAAAAGAATTCTCACTTGTGGTTGCTGTTGGAATTAGAAACAGAGGGAGTTAAAAAAATAAAGGGAATTAATTGCTAAACAGAAGGAGTCCTCAATCAACTGATCAAATACAACATACAATGCATATTGTACTGTGAAATAGCATTTCAGCTTGAAACAATTTGAGAAGACATGTGTCAGGGCAGTTCAACAAACTTCAATGAAACATTTCAATTACCAGGATGTCAACACTGTTTATTTAGCTTGTACTGATACCTTCCAGAATATCCATTATCTTAAAAAAAATAAAAAAATAAAAACTGTGCTTGGGGGAGGAATCAAGACAGAATGGATTGAAAATTCCAAAATTTACACTACTCTACTAACAAAGGAGGAGATTGATGTCACTTAACTTTAATTTAGCTGAAGCCAATATGTGGTCTAAGGTAGTTATTTACATTTCTTGGCACTCAACTCCGTCTTACATGAGATACCTAACTTTCAGATCAGTAAAGCTGGGGGAATGAAACATATCCACAGTGCCTGGAAAAAAACCCCTAC